AAGTAGAAATTGAGTGTGAGGTGCACTGGTGTATTAGGTTCTCCTTTGTCTTGATCACCTAAAAATGGACATTCTGATATGCAAATACTTCTTTATCACAAGGAAAATATGTCTTTACTTGTAATAAAATAATAATATTAATTCAGTAGTAATATAATTATGTCATGTTTTCCATGCCAGCATGGCTTGATATATTTATTATTTTAAGGAAAACATCTCTGGCACTGTAAAAATGAGAAATAAAAACTATGAGACACGCCTATAAAATAAAAAACATCTATAAAATAAAAACTATACATCCCCCAAAGAAACAATCCTCTTCAATTTTGTTTTCTCTCCTTATGTAGTATTATGTAGCCACTTCTCTGTCTTTTCTTTCTATCATGATTGCTGGTAGTCACTTCTATAAAAGAAAATATTCCTTTGTGAGAAAACAGTCCATGCTGGTGAAAATGTAAAAGATAAGTCAATATAGCTAAAAAATAGGCAATTGAAGCTACACATGGGTTGTCATAAAAGTATAAGATGAACCTTAGAATGTATAGGGTAATTCCTAGATATTAAAGCAGTTGTTTTCCTTGCAGTTGGCATGAAAAAGCATAGAAATAGCACGACAGAGAACCAGTAAGTTGCAGGTACCACTGCATCTGAAATACACTGTGAATCCTTAAGCATAAAATATTACTAGGGTGTGGCCTAGCAATAAATCAGGCATGCCAAAAATGCATGCTGCTATTTTAAAATATGCTTTTTAGTTGAGAGAGGGAGCAATAAATGGAAAAAAAAAAAAAAAAAAAAAAAAAAAAAAAAAGACCTCATACCAATCTCTTTTTTCTTCCCAGGCATTAGTTTCAAAATAAAAAGCAAGATTTTATCTAAAGCAAACAACTATGTTTCTCAGCATGCCCTGACATTAAGGTTCCCCAGCTATCCCAGTAGGAATGCTCTCTGACCTTCCTGCAATAGCTGGTTATGCAATAAGGATGGTTATCTCCCTCTGTTTAAAGAGCTCATATCTGTCTAATGCAGAAGTGGGAAGAATTCTCAGCTTAGATGTGGCCTTGCAGAATTACTGTGAAACATACAGCAGCACTGTAACCAAAGCACCACCACAAACTACGTCTTCATGGGAAACTAGATTGTTTTACTAGTCATAGGAATAAAGTCTAGCACAACCTTTGTGTCTATCCCTTGAATCTTTGTAAGGGATGGCCTGGAATCATAGCATCTCATACCTTTCTTGTGACCATGACATTAGAGTTCTCAAATCTTGGTGGAGCCAAAAGGAGGAGCAGCAAAACTTCTACCTTGGACTTCCGGAGGGTGGACTTGAATTGTTCATAAGATTAGTAGGGCTACTGACTGGGTTCAGTCTTAGAGAGAAAAGGGGTCCAATACGGCTGGTTGCTCTTCAAGAAGGAAGTCATGAAGGCGCAGGAGCAGGTTGTCCCCCTGAGGCACAAAATGAACCAGCAGGGAAGAAGACCAGCGTGGATGAATAGGGAGCTATTCTTGAGGCTCCAGGACAAAAAGAGAATCTACCTCCTGTGGAAGAAGGGACAGGCAACTCAGAAAGAATACAGAGAAGTTTTTAAGATGTGCAGGGAGAAAATCAGAAAGGCAAAAGCCCGGCTTGAACTCAACCTGGCCGCTGGGGTAAAAAGGAACAAGAAACCCTTTTACAGCATCAACAGTAAGAGGAGGACTAAGAATAATCTCCATTCTTTACTGGATGAGGTTGGGAATGTGGCCACTGAAGATAAGGAAAAGGCAAAGGTTCTGAATGCCTTCTTCACATCTGTCTTTAAAGGTCAGGCCAGTTATCCTCAGGGTATTCCACTCTCTGACCTGGTGGTCTCGACTGGGGAGCAGACTAAATGCCCCACAATTCAGGAGGACACAGTCAGAGACATACTACTCCAACTGGACTGTCACAAGTCCATAGGGCCGTATGAGATTCACTCGAGAGGTGATAGCCAAGCTGCTTTTCACTATCTATCAGTGCTCCTTGTTGACTGGTGAGGTCCCAGAAGACTGGAGGCATGCCATCTCCATCTACAGACTCCCATCTACAAGAAGGGTTGTAAGAAAGATCTGGGGAACTACAGGCCTGTAAGCCTGACCTCAGTGCCAGGAAAGGTTATGGAGCAGACTGTCTTGAGGGAGATCACATGGCATGTGTGGGACAACCAGGGAACCAGCATGGGTTCACGAAGGGCAAGTCCTACTTGACCAACCTGATCTTCTATGATCTAGTGACCCATCTGATGGATAAAGAAAAGGCTAGACTTCAGCAAAACCTTTGACACTGTCTCCCACAGTATTCTCTTGCAGAAGCTGGCAGCCAGTGGCTTGGACAGGTACACTCTTGGCTGGATTAGGAACTGGCTGGAAGGCCAGGCCCAAAGAGTGGTAGTGAATGGAGCTAAATCCAGCTGGCAACCGATCACGAGTGGTGTTTCCCAGACCTATCCTCTTCAAGATCTTTATTGATGACCTGGATGAGGGCATTGAGTGCACCTTCAGTAAGTTTGCAGATGACACCAACTTGTCTAAAAGTGTTGATCTGCCTGGGGGTAGCGAGGCCCTACAGAGAGATCTGGACAGGCTGGATAGCTGGGCTGAAGCCAATAGGATGAAGTTCAACAAAAACAAATGCCAGGTCCTGCACTTTTGCCACAACAACCCCAAACAAAACTACAGTCTTTGGGCAGAGTGGCTGGAAGACTGTGTAGAGGACCTGGTGGAATTGATTGGTTCTTGACTGAACATGAGCCAGCAGTGTGTCCAGGTGGTCAAGGCTAATGGCATCCTGGCTTGCATCAGAAACAGCGTTGCCAGCAGGAACAGGAAAGTAATTGTCCCCCCGTACTCAGCTCTGGTGAGGCCGCACCTCGAGTACTGTGTCCAGTTTTGGGCTCCTCACTGCAAGGAAGACATTGAGGCCCTGGAATATATTCAAAGAAGGGCAAAAAAGCTGTGTTGGGATGTGGGGTCTGGAGCACAGGCCTTATGAGGCCTTATGAAGAGAAGCTGGGGAGCTGGGATTGTTTAGTCTGGAAAGAGGAGGCTCAGGGGAGACCTTATTGCTGTCTATAACTGCCTGAAGGGAGGTTGTAGTGAGCTGTAGCAAGCTCTTCTCTTGTGTAACTGGTGATAGGACTAGAGGGTATGGCTTCAAGCTGTGCCAGGGGAGATTTAGGCTGGACGTTAGGAAATACTGCTTCTCTGAAAGAATGGTCAGGCACTGGAATGGGCTGCCCAGGGAGGTGGTGGAGTCAAAGACCCTGGAGGTGTTCAAGGAACATTTGGACATTGTGTTAAGGGATATGGTTTAGTGAGAACTATTGGTGATTGGTGGATGGTTGGGCTGGATGATCTTGTAGATCTTTTCCAACCTTGGTGATTCTGTAATTCTGTGATCTCTATTTTATCCTCCAAGGAGGTACTTAATTCTATGTTAGTTTTTTTTTTTTCTGGTCACTTTAAATGAAATCATATGGCTTTCAAATAATAGTTGCAAATATCCTCATGGTTCACTGTAAGCTAAGTGATCAGAGTCTCTTCAAACTTCAGTAGGTTTATTCTTTAACTGGCTGAATTTATAAGCTTGAAATCACAAGGATTTACTAGACTATATGAGTGTAGAGGAGATAGGCTTTAATTTCTTCATTCTCCTTCAGTGAGGATTTCTAATAATCATTCAAAAAAATGTCCTCCTGCTTAGAGCTTCTATGTTATCTGGGGAATGAAAAGTAGCAAGCTAAGTACAAAAAGATTTCCAGGACCTAGTAATTCAGATCTTTACAGTATTGATTCATGCAGCAGACATACTAGTAGGAACTGCAAAACTGAATTAACAGGTGAATAGATAAATAAAATTCAAAACAAACCAGTTTGCTTAGCTCAAACTGAACATATGCTCATACCTTTTCTAATAGCTTTGTTTCAACATTTTTCTACAAAACTGGAAAACATAAGGTAATGATTTCCTAATAATGATTTTTATTTTTTTTTTCTGTGAAGACTGCAAAAGCTGTTATGTTTACTCCTCAACATGATGATTAGATAGGTGAAAACATTTTATGTTTCTCATCAAACATTTTGCAGTTTTGTATCTATACAGGACACTTAACTAACACTTAAAAGTGATAAAAATACCATGTGCTGAATTATCATGCACAAAAGACAGATACAAAGTTCCTGTATAGACAGGGGAACTGAAATTATATGTGAAAATTAAACCTTGTAAATAAAAATTATACTCCTCTAAAACTCCAAAATAGTCTTGGACATGGAACCAGAGATTTAAAGCTGAAAAGAAGTAGCATATTGAGATCCAATTTTTGGAGTGAGGGCGATGTGAAAATTAATCTTCTTAATAGAAAATAAATCTACTGAAGTTGTACCCTATGGAGCCCGTTTTCCTACATTTCTGAAAATACAGCTTAAGCAATGCTAGACGGAAACAGATGATACACCAAGGAGGCAAGGAATGGTAAGGTGCAGTTTTGTAGAATGATCCAATACTCCAGCCCAAGTCCCAAACTTACATCTAAAAGGCTATCAAGTGATAAACATAGGCTAAACAGAACTACAGAATGCTACCTGTATTAGTTAATATAAGTACCCTTATTAAAACAGTTATTTTCTCTTTTTTTTCAAACATCTTGCTCTGCAATATCAAGCATGGATATTTTTTTTGCAGAAGTTTTTGGTGAAATCTTTTACTTACACAGCAAAGATTGGGTTAAAGTCCATTGTCAGGAAAGCTATTTGGTTTTGTAACTAGTTTCTATGGTGAGATCATTTCCAGCAGCAAAAGAAGACAAATATCTAGTGAAGTTCTTACAGTCTGAAAAAAAAAAATACTAGATAACTCCTTAAATTTCAAAATTACTTTCAGTTAAAGTAAGTTCTGATCCTGAGATGAATAGTCCTGCGAACTACTACCATTGATTGCAGACTAATCAGCCTGGCCATATAGAAGGACATTTAGCTTAAGGCAGCTTCCTGATTGCAAGAATGAAAAAGAATATCAAAGCTAATTAGATTCCGTCATTTCCTTCTAAATCACTACTATTTGTGGTACAGAAATGAAACTGAAGTTAGATGAGGGTATTTATAATGTAATTTTGTAATTACTATTATTAAAAGGGAGTAAAAAATCTATTTTGTGTCCTGACTGTAGTAAGAATCAAGCAAGTGACAAACCTCTCCATGCTAAAAGCTCTACTCAGAAGCTACTCCCATCTTTAATCCTAGCTTAAAATTTATTTATAGGTATTTCTCCCTTGCTTCCATCTGTTTTCTCATTCTCTGTATGAGTGAAAGATTGCCTCTCTCTCTCTCTCTTTCTTTCTCTCTCTCTCATGCCCATTACAATCAAACTGTCGTGTTTCAGTATTGCCTTCCTCAAACTCTCCCATACAGATAGCACCAGAGTTTGTGTGAGTTTGATTTTTGTCCAGAGCTTTTATGCTTCAGCTTTTTTTATTATACAGGTGTCTCGCTCCGATTTATAGGAGGGAGAGGAGGAAGCTAATCGTTACACAATTACTACAAAAGATTTCTTGGGCTTGGTTACAAATGTTGCCCTGATCTGTTGGACTTGTCAATCATCAATTGAAGTGGTTACAAAGTATATGGAGGATACAACTCGTTGTATAAGTTGGATGAAACATGGAATCATACGAGGTACAAACATAAGAGTTGCAACAACACACAGTAGATAGAATACGTTTCACCCACGAGCCTCCTGGAAGCCAGGATAAGAAGTCAAAGTCTAAGCCCTTCCAGGTTTGGATGGGAACATGGGCTATTTTCCGAATACCCTGGGCAATTTGCTTAACAACTTTACCATTATCATCAATCTTTAGACAACAATTAGAGTCATTCAATATGCCGCAGACACCACCCAGTGACTCTTCAGGAGTGGTAACACAAATGTTATAATGAATAAAAGGTAGAAAGTGAAAAGAGACAACCATTCATTTGGCAATAACTATACATTTAACGATAACCAATAATAATAAATAAATAAGTAAAACAAATAGAGCTATTTGTGTCAGCTGCTTTCCCCACCCAGGAAGTCCCAGTGTAAGCCAGGATCCAGATGGGAATTCTTCAGTAGAGGTTGTGGTTTTATGAATAGCCATACAGTATTACATTTCAGTTAATTCACCAAAAGCATAATGTTTTCTAAGATGATTTAGTGTCATGAGAACTCTCCACGTGAGCATTTTCAAAGCAATTCAAATGCTGAGAGATATAAATACTTGTTTGACAAATTCAAGTATTGTTACAGTCTACAGAACATTTCACAGGATAGTGTGTGTAGGATAACCCCACAGTATAAACCATCAAAGAGGAGTAATCCCAGAAACATACACATCTCTTATCAAAACTTAGGTACTTTCCAACAACCATGTTTTCGATGGAACTCTTGGACTGGTGTGACACTGAAAAGCATCAGTGCAAAAGGATTTATGATAGATTTCTTTCGTGACCACATCTA